GAACGATGACACAATGTCGCGGGAGCTCATGTGCGCGAATCGCATTTCTGCTCTGCAGCTGAACGTCATCCCCGCGCCTCCGCTCCGGTCAAGGTGGAAAAACGATCGCGGCCGACTGCAGGCATTGGATCGCCCTGACCGTCCGTATTCCCGGATCGGACGGCCAGCAGCCGTGTGCGGAGGGCCCACCCGGAAAACCACGTATATGAGGAAGGCCCACCACTCCCCATCGGAAAATCCCGACCGTCAGTATTCCCGGATCGGACGGCCAGCAGGTGCTCGCGAAGGACCCTCCCGAAAAACTATATATATGAGGGAGGGCCACCAGTTCCCATTTTCGTTTCAGTTCGGCAAGGCAGCAGTAGAGCAGCGCAGCGGAGGTTCGTCGACGCAGCGCAGCGGAGGCTCGTGCCACAGCGCTGCGCAGTGGAGGCTCGTGTACAGCGAGGCAACGGAGCGCAGGGATTCGGTCCGTGCATAGCCGACCACCTGCTCGACGCGACAGCGGACCAGAGTGCTGTCGAGAGGCGTGTTCAGCACGACGACGTAGTGAGCATATGGCCCGAGATCGTGACACACAACCACAGCGGAGCACCCTGAGTTTGAAGGATCGGACGGTGAGGACACAACCACGCAGCCCAGATTCAACCACGTAACGCCACGTGGCACTTCCGATCGTCGAGTCGAACACGATGGTGCCCCATCGTCGAGTCGAACACGATCGCGCCCGATCGTCGAGTCCAATACGATCGTCTTCGATCGTTATGTCGAACACGATCGTGCCCGATCGTCGAGTCGAACACGACAGTGCCCGACACGAACACGATCGTGCCCGATCGTCGAGTCGAACACGACAGTGCCCGACACGAACACGATCGTGCCCGATGTCTGATTGTCGAGTCGAACACGACAGTTGAGTCGAACACGCTCGTCGAGTCGAACACGACATTGCCCAATCGTCAAGTCGAACACGATAGTCGACCCGAAAACGATCGTCAAGTCGAACACGATAGTCGACCCGAAAACGATCGTCAAGTCGAACACGATAGTCGACCCGAAAACGATCGTCAAGTCGAACACGATACTGCCCAATCGTCGAGTCGA